TAAGTATTCGGTAAGTTTCTAATTAACACATGCACAACAGGGACATTTTTGTTCTGGTTGGGGATAGCGGGACGGACAGTCTGAAAGCGGAACAACCCCGCCCAAAGCGGACTACTGGTGGTAGGACCTCTTGTGAGTCCGCGCGGGTAGGTACCACCGCCCTGCTTATTTCTGCCGTGAAGCAGTAATGCGCTTCGGTTTAAAAGGCAGGGCAGCCGTTGTAACTATACTGAGATCTTAGAACTCATATCTGAAGGTGGGTGGCGCATTCACGTTGTAGATGTTTAAGAGCTCCAGTAACAACATAACACCGGGTCGGCTGTGGGCTCGTCCAACAATCTAAACAATAAAAATAAAAAAGCGGGTCGTATGGTCACGTTAAGTATTAGTTAATTCTTTCATGTTGAACCCGTGAGCTCATCTACCCATCCGGGCGTAGGTAGAATAGGCTTTTAGGCTACCAGTTAATAGGTAGGCGAAAAAAACAGCTTACGAGCTATATCAATGAAAATATAGGTGGTAGAGTTAACATTTTCATTAACATTTTGACATTCGACAAGTGTGTTTTTGATGACATCCAAGTTGAAATAAATGATTTTGAATTTGAATTTGAATTTGAATATACTCCTAAATTGTTAATTCGTTAAAAAACAACACAATGACCCGCTATAATTGTTTGGCTCGCGCGTTTCACAATTCTTTTTAATTTAGATTACGTTGCAATAGTACTAACATCCGATTGATGGATTTGGGTCGCATACAGTTTCGTGTCAGGCCCGTTACAGTCAAAACACGAATCACAAAACTAAGCCTAAAATACATTTCAGTTTTACATTAAAAACGGTGTATGAAATGAAATGAAAGAAATCCCGTTGTTTTTGTTACGAGACTTTATTTTTTAGTTGTACAATAATTTATTTAGAGATGTTTAGTTTAGTATTTTTGATAAATTAAATGAAGTCCGTAAGTAAGAAGCAAGAAAGTTGGTTAAATTAAATGAAGTAGGTAGGTAAAGAAGCGGGGATTTTTCCCTTGTTTTTTTTAAAAGGGATTTTATGTCCTGGTAACTTTTATTTTTTTTATTGCTTAGATGGATGGACGAGCTCACAGCCCACCTGGTGTTAAGTGGTTACTGGAGCCCATAGACATCTACAACGTAAATGCGCCACCCACCTCGAGATATAAGTTCTAAGATCTCAGTATAGTTACAACGGCTACCCCACCCTTCGAACCGAAACGCATTACTGCTTCACGGCGGAAATAGGCGGGGTGGTGGTACCTACCCGTGCGGACTCCCAAGAGGTCCTACCACCAGTGATAAACTAAGACCTTTAAGTCATGTCTTATTTTAATTTACATTCATATTTTTATGAAAAATGATAATATGGAGTGAAATGAATATGATTAATTTGAGACATTAATCAACTGGGATGAAATTAAATTAAATGAGATGATATGGGATGAAATATAATCTCAGTAAAATGGTGGTAATTTTCTGAGATATTTTCCGTGAACTTTTTGGAGGATCACGAAAAGTTACGTTCAGCGGCTTTGTTTCATTTTCCCACATTTGTGCACTTTCACAGATATTAAACAGTTAAAAAATCACCGTTACAACACATTTAAACCTGAAGAAACACTAAATAGACAAAATAAAACAAATCACACACTTCACTCCTCGTGTTCCCGCCAATAAGTCCTTTTCCCTCATTTTTTAAGGGATTTTATGACCTGGTAACAAAGACCTTTAAGTCATGTCTTATTTTAATTTACATTCTTATTTTTATGGAAAATGATAATATGGAGTGAAATGAATATGATTAATTTGAGACATTAATCAACTGGGATGAAATTAAATTAAATGAGATGATATGGGATGAAATATAATCTCAGTAAAATGGTGGTAATTTTCTGAGATATTTTCCGTGAACTTTTTGGAGGATCACGAAAAGTTACGTTCAGCGGCTTTGTTTCATTTTCCCACATTTGTGCACTTTCACAGATATTAAACAGTTAAAAAATCACCGTTACAACACATTTAAACCTGAAGAAACACTAAATAGACAAAATAAAACAAATCACACACTACACTCCTCGTGTTCCCGCCAATAAGTCCTTTTCCTTCATTTTTTAAGGGATTTTATGACCTGGTAACAAAGACCTTTAAGCCATGTCTTATTTTAATTTATATTCTTATTTTTATGAAAAATGATAATATGGAGATAAATGAAATTAAATGAAGATTATTAATTTGAGACATTAATCAACTAGGATGAAATTAAATGAAATGAGACGATATGGGATGAAATATAATCTCAGTAAAATGGTGGTCATTTACTGAGATTTTTTCAGTGGACTTTTTGGAGGAGCCCGAGAAGTTACGTCCAGCGGCTTTGTTTCATTTTCCCACTTTTGTGCACTTTCACAGATATTAAACAGTTAATAAACCACCGTTACAACACATTTAAACCTGCAGAAACACAAAATAGACAAAATAAAACAAATCACACACTTCACTCCTCGTGTTCCAGCCAAAAAATCCTTTTCCCTCGTAATTTTTTTAAGACAGATTATATTTAAATTACAGAGTAGTAAGCTTAATATAGATTATAGACGACACGCAGATACGGCAAAGGCGTTAACAAACGGCTCGCACGCGAATTCATTGCTCTTTAAAATCAAACACGAAATTCGATAACATCGTCTGATATAATCATGTTGTACTTTGTTATTGATATATTTATTATAATTATATTATAATTATCAACTAAAGCCAGTGTTTCCTTTTAATACAGACTTTTATCATTATTGCATGGGTATTTTGATAAGATTTTTATCGATTGCATTCCATTATACGTGATCTTGTTTTTATTAGACGGATAAAAAAATAACAATGAAATCCAATTAATGAATTTTGTTTTTGTTTTTAATAACCTCAAACGTTTTATCGTTCGATGTCATTAATTTTATTTGTGTAGATCAAAACAATCCCATAAAAATGATAGAATGAGTCGCATAAGTTTTTTAATTTATGTTCGTGACTGAGAGATATGAGACTGAATAATTAATCGACGTATTGACTTAGATGTAGACATGCCAGGACTCAAATCCGGGAACTAGGCTATCAGTGTCCAATATTATATGAGCAAAAACGCTCCTAGCATGCGTTCTAGAACCACTTACACAACACAACATCGAATCAAATTTTATAATATCCAAAAAAAATTGAAGTCGTCATGATCTGCTAGATAAGACGTCCAGTGCATTCGTATCTAGCGATGCAACGCAGGCGGGTATAGAATTTTTTGACGAAATTGGTACTTAACAAATGTTACGATAGACTTTGACGGTGAAGGAATAACGTGTAACGGGTAATAAAAATCAAACCCTCAAAATTTATAATTTGCGTAATTAGTGTTAGGACGTCTTTTGAGCCTGCGCGGGTAGGTACCGCCCTGCCTATTTCTGCCGTGAAGCAGTAATGCGTTTCCGTTTGAAGAGTGGGGCAGCCGTTGTACTGTAAAACTGAGGTTTTACAACTCATGTCTCAAGGTGGGTGGCGGCATTTACGTTGTCCTTATCTAGGGGCTATTTTGCGTGATTACTTCCGGTAGACCGTGCTCCAAGCCCTTAGACTAATACCAGCCTGTCTACATCCGCCCCGAAGCAGTAACGCGTTCCATTAAAAATACTTCAACAATAAAACCGCATCTTCAATTTACAACTAGCTGTCAACCAGTTTAATTTGTGTTAGGGTAGATTCTGAAATTGGTATTTACTTCAATTGTATATTTATGTTTCAAAGGTATTTTAAGTATGGTTTATGTATCAATTGTTTATTCTTATTTATATGTAAAGAAGCAAAATTATTGATTACGTTACATTGTGTATTTGTATGTATATTTATAAATGTATATATGTAAGGAATTTGTGTATGTATATGACTGTATGTGTGTATGTATATATATTTCAATTGTTTGGTATACCGCGTGTAATTCGTTTCCAAATGACTCTTTTCAACCTGATAGTTGTATGGAAGAGACCGCTCTTAGCGTAAGACCGCCAAATGTTTCGCATGGCTTATTTTGTTGGTGTACAATATACAATACTCTCTCTTTCTCTCTCTCTCTTCAATTGAAGTTACACATAAAAACTTGTAACATCCTGCATTCAAACGACCACTTATGCCGAGTTTACATTACGAAATGAGTGTCATGCATGTTGAGCTCAGTTTCACGAAAGTAGTTTCGATATATGCGAAAGTAATTTCGTTAAAAAATTAGTGTCGCGAAATCCACAGTATCGCAGTAACCATGGCGCCTTCAGCATCAAAGCTATAATTTGTTATATTCAATGTAGCTAAAGAAATGCTTATATACCTATAGACTTAAAAAAAGACTATCAAGAAAAAAAAAGTTGGTAGATTCGAGGATGGTCAACAAGAAGGCATTTAGGTGCAATGAAGTTAGTCTCTGAATTAGCAGATGAAGATCCTGAGAGTTATAAAAACTATTTTCGAATGAGTGAAGATAATTTTGATTTTTTATTATAGGTGTTTCGGGACCCTTGTCATTGATATTCATTAATAAGATCTATATTTTTTTCTGTACTCCATCATTGGTTTGCCATTTTCAACGCTTGAAGCGCGTCCGAACTAACAATACACACGTCCGCACAGCGCAGGCACTTTCGCGACATTAGTTTCACGTCGCGTCTACACTATGAAATTAGTTGCATGACACTAATTTCACCAAAAAATCGCGCAGGGCACGAAACTAATTTCCATGCATGAAATTAATGCATGCATTACGAAAGTATTAAATTACACGTGAAACTGTTGGTAAAACTAATGTCACGAAATTAATTTCACGCCACTAATTTCGTAATGTAAATTCGGCTTTATTTGCGACGTCTCTTCGTTTTGAAAACCATACGCTCTGCACTGGGCTGTTCTTGTAAATAATAACGATTTGTTGATGTGCGTGTTCTCGGTTTTCCAGGTGCTGTGTGGTGCAGTGGCGGACGCTGGCGACGAGATCGCAAACGTGAGCCGCGTGCGCCGAGCACCTCACATCTCGCACCGCATCACGTTAGTACAAACTTTTTAAGCTATTGCATAGCTTCTATCGCGGGCCTTGAGCGCGGCGACTGAATCAAGAAATTCCGTAACGAAAATAACCTGACATCCCCACTACGGCTACTATGTAGCTCGTGCTCAACACATTCACACGATGCGCTTGTGTAGTGTTTGTGAATAAGCGCGTGGCGTGACGTCGCACTGCCGCATGCACATCATGAAAAGTCTGCCCATCTCTCCCTCGCGCGGTCTAGGTTTTGAGTGTGAAGGGGACAGTTAATGTTTTGCTTTTGTTAATGTTTATAAATATAGCGTGGTCTTATTTTATTGTTGTTTTAATATTAAATTATTATTGTCGGTTTATAATTGCATAAGTTGATAAAAAATGCTATGCAATAGCTTTACCGCGGCAGTCTCCGAGTGCCACACGTGTTTTTTTAATTACATAACGATATGGAATATTTTGAAGCCGTCGTGGCCTAAAGGATAAGACGTCCGGTGCATTCGTCTCTAGTGATGCACCGGTGTTCGAATCCGGCAGGCGGGTAACAATTTTCCTAATGAAATATGTACTTAGTAAATATTCACCATCGGCTTCCATGGTGAAGGAATAACATCGTGTAATAAAAATCAAACCCGCAAAATTATAATTTGCATAATTACTGGTAGTAGGATCTCATGTGACTCCGCACGGGTAGGTACCACGACCCCGCATATTTCTACCGTGAAGCAGTAATACGTTTCGGCTTGAAGGGTGGGGCAGCCGTTGTAACTATACTGAGACCTTAGAACGTATATCTCAAGGTGGGTGGCGCATTTGCGTTGTAAATGTCTATGGGCTCCAGTAACCACTTAACACCAGGTGGGCTGTGAGCTCGTCCACACATCTAAGCAAAAAAAAAGGTAACGGAATCTTTGAACATGATTTTGACTCCCTTCAAAACGTCGGATTAACTCTAAATTTGGCATACTTATTAAGGACCGATGACAATTCAATATTTACAAAAAAAAAATTGAAAAAATTGAAATTTAACTAAATAATGAAAAATTAATAACAGTTTAAAAAACTAAAAAAATACGCTTTTATAGAAAATCCAACTAAAAATAGAAAATAAATTTTAATAAATTTGAATTAAAAATAGTGTAAGAAAAAATGATTTTATTGTAAAAAAAATATTTTCTATAAAAGCGTATTTTTTTTGTTTTTTTAAACTATCATTTATTTTTAATTACATAACGATATTCGGAGTATTCCAGATGTGTGGAGTAACGAGAATGGATAGAATACGGAATGAATATGTTAGACGAAGTCTGAAAGTGGCACGTGTGACAGAGAAGTACGCGTTTGGGATGGTATGGACATGTTATGAGACAAAATTAAAATATGATTGGTAAGAGAGTGTTAACTATGAATGTGGAATAGTATAGAGGAAGAGGTAGACCTAAGAAGAAATGGATGGATCGCGTGAAAGACAATATGTGTAAGAGGGTAGTGAGCGAAGAAATGGTATATGATAGAGGAGTATGGAAGGAGAAAACATGTTGCGCCGACCCCAAGCGACTGGGAGAAGGGCAGGAGAATGATGATAATGGAGTATTCCAGAACGAATTCCCCTAAATCACTTTTAAGATTAATATTAAAAATTAAACAGTAAACAGTGTTAGTAATATAATAATAAACTAGTAATATAATTTAAAAAAAATAACAAGTATGCATATTAAATAATTATCTCAGCGATTAAACACTGTCGTTGCATTGCAGGATAGAAAAAGACGATATGTCGTGGAAGCGGTCCCACTGGCGGGAGATGCAGCTTATTCTCCAGCAACAGGGGACGCGGAAGGACGGTCAGTCCCCAGAGACGCAGAAAGAAGGCGTCGATTGCTGCCCCTCGGTCCTCGAAATGGTCATCAAGAAAGGAGGCCGGACGGTCAACGGACTGTATGTTGAGCTCTACGAAGACGGAGAGAACAAGCAGCGGCTGTTCGAGCTGACGTGTGCACCGGGGATCGTGGACATGCCGTGCCGGTTCATCGACGCAAGACTCTACAACGACTCGAGATGCGTCCAAAAATACTCCTACTCGTACGCGTTAGTACGGCCTCCCCCCCAGTCTTCGGCCACGGAATCTCCTCACCAGAAGTCCGAGGGACATTTCTCGGTGCCCGGCTCCGATGGCTGGTCGATGGACTACGTGAAAGTGCGTGCCGGTTGTGAGTGCCAAATTAAACCTCCAAAGAACACTCGTAAGAGACACAAGAAGAGGAAACGTAACAGAAGAATAGTTGAGAACGATGAGACCTGACACCGTCGGTGCGTAATTGTGAACCAGTGGGATAATAGTGAGAACTGATCGAGAGTTTACGGTGTGCTTCGTACTGATGGTAGGGGATTTGCGAAATCAATTAATACAAACGTTACCGGAATATTGTTGTTGAGTATTTTGGTGTTATTTCGGTGTTTGTCGATATTTATTATTATCGGGAAAATATTTAAAACATTTTTTTTTTTGTCTTAGTAGCTATTATCGATTTATTGGATAACGGTAATGTGCCTTGACCGGTGTGCCTTGTCACGGAAGTGCCGGAAATGTTATAGAGGAAACGAAATGTATTTTCGGGCGTTTTTAAATTGAAATGTAATTTATATAACGACATCCAACAAGATTAACGTATTCTCGCACCAAAACAGACGCAAAATGTGCATAATTCTTTTTTATATGTTTTTTAGAGATCACTTCGTTGAAGCCTAAATTCTTAACGCTGTCTTCTTCAATCTGTGTCCACTCAATACGGAGTGTAGGTCTCTTCATATGCACTCCATTATTTTCGGTCTCTTCCCTTTCCCATCCAGTCCTTACCGGCTATATTTACCAGGTCGTAGGTCCATCTCATTGGTTGTCTACTCACCTTACGACGTCCAGTACTAGATCCACTCCAGTATTTAACGCTGAGACATTTCTTGAACACCTCAAAGTCTTAACAAACAACCATCCTTAACAATAAACTATTCTGATTATATTTTAATTTAATTAATTAAAGAAACGCATAGTTGTGGGTAAGGGTTATGAGACCGCGAAGCTAGGCGCAAAATCCTTTCTGTTGTTACGCACAAAGCGAGTTTGAAGGGTGTGACCAAAACTCAAGATGGGTGACGGTATTCTGGTGTCTATGGCCTCCAGGAACTTTAAATCTCCTCTCTTAGGATTGCTGGCCAATGACCCTGATCACCAGGTCTGGACGAACGATCGAGCTCAATATCATCACAAAAATGTGTTGAATTTATCAGAAAGGAATAGATGTACAGACGTGCCCACAGACCTACAAGTCTCATACAAGAAGTCATAAAAAAAATTACACGGGGTTAGCTTAAAAAAATCTGAACTATTCGATTGATCTAGCAAACGTGCTGCGATATAAGCTAGGTTAAACAGTAGAGCTCTGAAAACATAAAATTAAGAACAGTTACATCCGTATGCCTTTCGTATTAAGACACAGCTATACAGATTTTCTCGCAAGAACTTTGAAAATTATTAAAGGAACATTTTGACACAAATTCCATCTTGCTCACACTCAGATGTTAATTTATGTATGTGAGCGGGACGGCAAATTAATATTATACATATAAGTTACAGTAACGCATTCTGTGATTTTAATTCTGTTCAATTAAAATAAAAGGTTAACATTAGACCAGTGGCTCTCAACTACGCTGCCGCGGCACTTTTGTATACCGCCATATTTTACCAATTTTATTGTTAACTATTAAATTAATATTATTAACTTATAATTAATACCTTAATAAACACCCTAGTATATTTTTGCATATTACTTTACTTCATATTCAAAATAATTAACTATTTTAGGGTAAGCAAACAATTTCTTTGTGTGTCGTCAAATTTTGAAAACGTTAAAAATGTGCCGCGACGAAAAAAGTTGAGAATCACTGCTTTAGAATAAAGAAAAATTTTGGTGAAAACTTATACATTTTGAAAAGAAGATAGGTCGATATTTTGTCATTATCATTTATAACATTAAAATGACATTATTCAGTACCAAATTCAATTTATTTTATATAATAATATACCCAAATCATTACCTACCTCCCCTCTGGGGCAGTCAGGTAAACAAAACCAAAAACATTCACAAGAAACATAGCAATAATGACACCTAGAACTATCTTTAAAAACACTACTTTCAGCTCTTGTCCATAGAGGTCACTTTAATAATAAAAAATACGAATTAAAAATGTCAATTTTATTTTTATTGGTGTCTTTCATGTTTAATGCTCTCTTCACCTTTAAAATTAAGAGTATTTATTCAATTTAACAATTAATGATTTTTTTGTTATTATTTGTATCAGTACTTACTTAGGTATAAGTGCGTTGAGTCAAAGATCTGTATTATTTTCTATTTTTTATTACTTTTACTTTATGTAATGTAGTTGTTATAAAATAAGGAATTATTTTCATTTATTTATACTGTTTAATACGAGGTATTCCGATAATAATCAGTATGAATGTTAGTTTTGTATGTAGAACCGCTTACATATTGTTTTATTGTAAATAATGTAAAATGTGAACAGACAATAGTATTCTGCAAATATGAGATTATGCTGATAAATATTTTTATTGTGCATTTAATGTGTATTTCAACGTTGCGAAACTAGCGACATCTGTCGCTGCGTAGAATAAAACTAAGAACACTGTTGAATTTATTTACATATTTAACGCATTAACCATATATTAATTTTTAACATAACAGTGCCATTTCATTTATACATAGTACTTTGTAAAAATTACCTGATCGACGTAATTTATACATACAAAGGCTGTTTGTTTAAAGTATGGATCCTTCTGGAAATAAATAGAACTAGAATATTCACATTATGAAATTGTAAACGAATTTGAGATTAATTTTTTGTTGATTGGTAATAAATTATAAACTGGAATTGCAATACGTCACATCACAATGTAATTAATTTACATCTGTAAGTTTTTTTTGTTGAAGTCAAAAGTGAATAAAACAAGAACCGAAATAGCAATATTTATTTTATTGTCATACTTTTATTACCTAATACCTAACCACGAACTAGATTACATCTTAATCTAAGAGTCTTCATAAAGAAATGTCATTACAAAACATAAAAAAAAAATATAAGCAAAAATTAGATTGTTGATGAAATCAACCGTCATGATCTGGAACAAAAATAAGCAAATCATAAGAATGTATTCAATAAATGCCTTTTTTATTTGTTTGATTTATTACCAAAAGGCTTCCGTGCCGTGGTGGAAAAAAAAAAGAGTCAAACAATGCTAATGCGAATCACAGTTTGCATAAAACATTTCCAACATTTTTTTAAAATAAATAAATAAGAAATTTAACTGCGTAATAAAAGTAAAATTTTTACTGTACTAATGACATCTAGCGTCGAGTGACAGTACCTGTTCACGTTAAAAATACCCATCTGTTCTATGTTTTTTCAGCCCACAGACGTCCACTGCTGAACATAGCCCTCCCCCAAGCCTTGTCACAACAATCGGTTCTGCGCTGTCTGCATCCAGCGGATAATATAAATATACATACAATCCAAAATATCCATACATACCTAAGAATACAGTGCACAAATACATAGCCGCGAAGCCGACTGCTACTGCTGTAAATTGTGCAATACCAGCGGTGCTCTTGCGTTCGTGCCAATTTGCTCTCTCTCGTGGAAGAACTTCGCTCACAGTCACGTAAAGCAGTGTTCCCGCCGCAAGTGCCTGTAGTGCGAAATCCAGTTAATAGATGGCGCTGTTATGTGGTATTTATAATCGATAAACGAACTTTCGGAGAATACTAAATTATTACTGAATTATTACAGAAATATTAGATTTTTTTATTTATAGCTTAGATGGGTGGTCAAGCTCACAGCCCACCTGGTGCTACGTGGGTCTATACTTGGACCTAAGGACTCATATCTCAAGGTGGGTGGCGGCATTTATGTTGTATAATATGTCTGTGGGCTCCGGTAACCACTTAACACCAGGCGGGCCGTGAGATCGAGCACCCTGCTGAGCAATAAAATAAAAAGTACAAAAACATATCTCGAAAAACACCTACCTGCATAATCGGTACCGCCACAGAATCTTTGAGTGTTCTGACATTTTCCAAGGCAGCTCCCATGCCGATTCCGGCGACGGAGCCACCGCTGAATATAAGGATGCACACCATTTGGGCGCACATCCGACCTGGCAGACTGGCGCACAGCTCAGCGCCGAGGCAAAACGCCACGACAAACTTGTGAGAGGCGACAGCTCCTAGCAGAAGCAGCACCTTCAAAAGAAAACAATTTAATTAGATTCCTTTTTTTTTTATTAGGTTAACACAACTGGATAATATCTAGACACATTGAACTTATTTAAAAAAAAAAAAAAGTTTTTAGAATTCACCCTTTTGGGTGTGATCACGTCTTGCTTAAGAGCGTTTGTGCTTTAGATACAAATATCGTTAACTAATATTAAAACTAAGACAAAGAAAACAAAAACAAAACAAAAACAACTGCATATAAAAACTTCCATAAAAACAATCAATAATAAAAATAAAAAAAGAGGGAAATTAATCTACATATATAAAAATGAATTGCTGTTCGTTAGTCTCGCTAAAACTCGAGAACGGCTGAACCGATTTGGCTAATTTTGGTCTTGAATTATTTGTGGAAGTCCAGAGAAGGTTTAAAAGGTAGATAAATATGAAGATGCTCAGAATTAAATAAAAATAACAATTTTGTTTTTCCTTTGATGTATCTCCCGTCGGACGGATTTCGTTTGTTTGTTTTAAGTTTATTTTATAAAAAAGCTTAGGTCTTTTATTTATCGATTGAGGCACTACGAAGTCTGCCGGGTCAGCTAGTGTTCAATAAAAATTCCGGGACTACACTGTTTAAAATTTATTTAAAACGGCAATTTGTTCTTGAACAAGTTTCAGGCGAGCCATTTGTGAAGCTGTCTTCAGTCTGGCTAAAACCACATTCTTAAAGTAATAATCTGATAATCACTGTAAGTCTAATAAATAGCTAAGCAGCGGCTTGGCTCTGCCCCTGGCATTGCTGAAGTCCATGGGCGACGGTAACCACTCACCATCAGGTGGGCCATATGCTCGTCTGCCTACAAGGGCGATAAAAAAAAAAAGCTTAGGTGCAGATATCGATGTACTGAAAGATCGACTTATTAATCTAATTTCTGTTCTAAAATCATATTTCGCCCTAGTTAGTAGTGAAGGTGGCAGTGCTTTTTTACTGGAAGTTATAATTCTTTGCTTTTATGACATCCTGGTACACTTAGGATAGGGTCGATAGAAAAGGCTAATTTCTATACTGATAATATTGTGTTTTGTGAGCCCGTGCGGGTAGGTACCACCGCCCCGCCTATTTCTGCCGTGAAGCAGATTACTGAATTAGCATTGTTGATGTCTATGGCCTCTGGTAGCCAATTAACACCAGATGTGTCCTGTCAACTCATCTAAGATCTAAGCAAAAAAAAAAAACAGCCAAATGAGAACAGTATGAAAATTGTGTAAAAATATTGTGACTTTAAAAGAAGTCAGAGGTGAGTATTTTCTCCTAACTTAGGAATACCAGAAACGCATTTGTTGAGCACGTAACCAATACTAAAAATAAGTTAAATTATCTACGGAACAAAGATCCGGTGTGCTTAGTGCGAGTTTCTTAACGTTCTCGATAGCGTAAAAGTTAACTCAATATTTGTATGGAGTTCGAACGTTCACCTTCGTTTGCCGCTAGAGGCGCTGTTTCTTTTTTACGCTATCGCGAACATTAACAAACCCGCATTAAGCACACAGATCGGGAATCGAATCCGAAAATCATGAGACAAAGCGGAATACGCACGGGACAGGCCTCCCTACAACCTGAACCCTACAACCTGCCTTAACATGGTCACTGTCCATAGGCTCCAGTAACCGCTCAACACTTGAAAGTCTAACTTACAACCATTCGTCTAAGATAATCAAAAATACGAACGATTAAACCAGATAAAACGCATTGTAAAATCGTTCATTATCATTGCAATATAAATGATAATGAACAAAACGAAATGATTCGATAACAAAACTAAACGCTTCATGCGCGTTCTTACGATCAATATTATCATACACTTGAAAGTTTACACGCATTTTGATAATCATAAACAAACACGGTTTTTGTATGTAGGTCAGTTGTCACAAGAATTACTTAATTTAACTGCCTTATGAAATTATTTCAATTGAAACAAACAACACGGTGCGGTAGGTGCGGTATTATGTGCGTCATTAATGTAGGATTGGTAAGAACGGAACGTATGAAAAGAGTGTGGAACGTAGCGTTAAGATGTGAAGTGAGAGAAAACGGAAAGAAAGGGAGAAGAGAATGACAGACATAATGACAGAGAAAAAGATGGCGAAGACGGTTAAAAAATGAGCAAGACGTACATAATAAAAGTGTTAATTAATTCTAAATTATTATTATTATTATATTATAACAGAAGATTTTGGAACAGTGGAAGTTTTATTTTATGCGCTGCGATCCCTATTCTACATTAATAAAACCAGCCACAGTGGATCGTGTACCAGAATCTGCTGCTGTATATCAAGAACTGCAGATAATATTGATAACATAATATTTAGGCGTTGGTCTGAAAGGAATGCTATGAAGAGTCTTCCTCCGCGAGGATTGTGAAGAGTATTCAATGGTAGACAGCGGTTTATCTGTGCCCCTCATCCGTGAACGACGGTAGCCAGTTACTGTTACATTGGGTCGTATGCTCGTCTACCTACAAGGGCAATTAAAAATATAAGAAACTTAGCCACTACCTAAAATTTGTTGAGAGCGGCGTATATTTGAAAAATCCTTGTTACTATAAATTGAGCTGTGGCTGTGGGCTCTCATTGTTTTTGACGTGACAACGTCTTAAAAATCGATAATCACCGGCTGCATGCACGTAAAAGTGTCACGTTCCGCCTGAGCCTTAGCACAGAAGCGACAGCGCGGAACAAGCGACAGAGAGGCACAATCGGCTTAAGCGTTGGTTTGTGACACATTTATGTCTCTTCTCGCGTGACCTCACAGCTAGCAGTTCGAATATTTCTGCTACTAACGTCATCACGTAAAACTATTGTCCGTATACCGACTTCACAGAGAACCAATTATTTTTTTTTTTAGAGATGGGGCAGTGGGCTTCAACAGTGTTTCACCATCGGGATCGGTCTTGAGCTACGCACTTTAGTCCGGTCAATGACTCTGGGCTTTCATATATAGGACAAATTAAGAGACACAATATATCGGTCAGAGTTAATAAGCACATTGCGGACTTCAAGGTTACATACAAGCGGGCATACAAGTCTGCAGTATGTCAACACGCTCTGGAAAATGACGCCAGCCACTTTATTAGATTTGACACAATCGATATACTGGCTAAAGAAAACAAGCTGAGTCCACGTATGATGCGTGTGATTATTAAAATTCAAAAAGCATCCTAACTTTTATGAAGAAGGTGGTTGGTGCTAATCCAACACCTGGGATCCTCTTATCGGAGCGATGACTAAGCTGACTCAAGTCAAGACAAAGACCTCAAGACACCGTTAGGTCTTTGTGTACGTAAAGGAAACGTAAATATTAACAAGTAAGAATAGTTATAGAAAAATGAATGGTAGATTGAAATATTTACAAATTTCGTGATTATCCGTTACCACGATAACTAAAGTATAAGAAACGTCGCATATAATAAAATGTCATTCCCGATCCTGCGGCCCGCATGGTAAACAGTTGACATCACCAAAACACGTCATTTCGAATACCCCCGATTCACTAGCGGTGCTTTCAGGTACCCCAAGCACCGGTCATCGTCCTCGTCGAACCCGTCGCTTGCTCGACTTGGTTGGGCTCGACGAGTAAATTAACCCACAGCCACAGCCCACTGATTTCTCGCCGGATCTTCTCAGTGGGTCGCGTTTCCGATCCGCTGGTAGATTTTGCGAAACACGGCTCTTGCTAGGGTCAGTGTGAGCAACACTCCCGGTTTGAGCCCCGTGAGCTCTCCTACTTGTTAGAGTTACGCTGAAATGGCCTCTCAAGGTCATCAGCTTAGGTAGGAAAAAAAAGAGAGCAATCAAAGCAAGATTAAATCGTAAAAATAGTTTTAATTGAAAATAAGTTTAGTTTAAAAATTATCTGACCACATCTCCCATGGTGGGCGCAGTATACCTGCCCCTTTAGTTTAGACATCCACTGAATTGAATGCTAGTAAACCGCCAATACTGGAATGTTCATAATAATATACATCGCACAACGTAAAATCCAAAATATTACAATGTTTTTTAATTGAAATAAACTTTTACAGATTAAATTAAGTGACTTTAGCACCAATTCTAGATACGGGTACACAGCTGATGGATGAGCTATTTAGTAAAATAAAGAATACAAACTAGGACTATAGTATTGGCAGCACAGCGAAAATAAGAAATCGTCTTGGCCTAAAGGATAAAACGCCCGTTGCATTCGTATCAAGCGATGCGACCGTGCCGGTGTTCGAATCCCGCAAGCAGGTATATTTTTTTTTACTGATATACGTACATAATCTTTTTATGAATAACTTCCAAATTTCATAAAATTCCAGAATAACATCGTGTAATAAAAATCAAACGCACCACAATTTTTATTTTCGTATTCACTCTTAAAGCATCAATCATGTGTCTCCACATGAATAATCACTATCACCCTGTCTATTTCGGCCGTGAAGCAATAATATATTTCAGTTTAAAGGGTGGGGAATCTGTTGTAATAATAAAATGTATCTGATACTTTCATTTTGTTTCTTTTTTGTGAATTTTAATAATTATTTATTGCAATTAAGGGTGTTTTCTGTTTTGTCATGCATCCAATTGATGTCCAAGGGCAACTTCGGTATGAAAAGCGTCTACCGTCTGTTCGAATGCAAAATTCGAGTGTTCTTGTTAGTGGCTGAGAAAAACGCGAGTATTTTTATGAAGAAGTTTATCTGAATCACAATATTAACTAAAATATGTACCTGAGTTCCATCCTCTTGAAGACCAATAGCCAGACCTTCCAGTAGGCTGTGAACGAAGAGAGCGCATAGCAATCCTATTGTTCCTGATGAACTCCTATTGCAAGGAGCCGTATGACTCACGTGGCACATTTGAGGGTTATCCACCTCACCGGGGCATCGTTCTCTCAATTCTCCATCGCGATTCAGCAAAGACGATCTCTCAGTTCCATATCTCAAGCCCTGATTGGCCGGACTTCCATGATTGATTTCAGTGGAACACAGATGGAATATCTCATCAACCAAGTAAACAATGAAGAAACCAATGCAGACCATTAGTTCTGAGTAGTTAGGGTATTTTTCCCTTGCTTCTGGCAGCATGTGGACGAGGGAAGTGGCCAGAAGCACTCCACCACCGAAGCAGAGGAGGCAGGATAGCACGAGAGGGTGCCGTTGTCTTGCGCTTTCCGAAAAACATGAAGGCAACATACCACCAAAGAAACTCCCTAAGCCCAGCGCCAGCATCGACACGACCTTGGCTGTGGTCACATTCATGATTTTTAATATTTATTTCGATAATCGCACGAGAGTTTTATATAGATCACTGGATTTCGTCACTGTCAAGCTACCGCCGAGATGGGTAGTTTGAAATGTATTTTTTTTCTCTACCGAACACGACCGCTCTTACGCCTTGACTGATCGCCACTGACTAACTGACTACTGACTTAAAACGCAAATTGATTGTCCCGTTTTTATCTATATTTACACGCTGTTATCAAAAAAATATGTTTAAAAAATGTTTTTTTCTACACACTTGCAGGCAGCTTTGAGCATTCCGATAGAATAGCGTTATAGTTGATATCTATATACTGTTTTAAATATACTTAATTGTTTTTTTTAACGATTCTTAAAACCATATTACAACCATAAAAATTAAAAGTTTAAATATTTTTTTTATTGCCCTTGTAGGCAGACGAGCATACGGCCCACCTGATGGTGAGTGGTTACCGTCGCCCATGGACTTCAGCAATGCCAGGGGCAGAGCCAAGCCGCTGCCTACCGAAAATATTCAACAATCTGGATTACAATTCAAAATAGGTGCACACAGAAAAAATAAAAAAATTTAACAGATGTCTAAATACCATGTGTGTACGGCAAAAGTAGATATTGCGGCAAATGTACACATTTTCCGGTAAATGCACATTCGCCTCCTCGTTAGGGTAATGTGCATTCTACTAACATTTAAAATTTCAAAGAAGGGAAATGCACATTGAGTTCACAACGACCATGTCGTTTTGGTAAATGTGAGCATGGCATACAAAATACGGAATCGCAAGTGCTAGTAATGCGCATGCGCATGCACACCACTACAACCTATTAATTTAAAATATAATTTTACCGGTGATAGGACGTCCTGTGAGTCCGCACGGGTAAGCTGCCTATTTTTGCTGTGAAGCAGTAATGTGTTTCGGCTTGACAGTGGGGCATCCGTTGTACTACAAAATTGAAAATTAGAACTCATATTTCAAGTTGGATGGGTCATTGTTACTGGTGGTAGGACCTCTTGTGAGTCCGCACGGGTAGGTACCACCACCCCATCTATTTCTGCCGTGAAGCAGTAATGCGTTTCAGTTTGAAGGGTGGGGCAGCCGTTGTAACTGTACTGAGACCTTAGAACTTATATCTCAAGGTGTGTGGCGCATTTACATTGTAAATGTCTATGGGTTCCAGTAACCACTTAACACCAGGTGGGGTGTGAGCTCGTCCCCATATATAGGCAATAAAAAAAAATAAAAAATCATTCGCGTTGACGTTATGGGTTCGGGTTTCAACTTAATATTAGGTGCGTCTTTACACCACGTGTCCTGGTGAAGCTGGAAAGGCCCCCGGGCTACCAGTAATCTTTCAATCATAAAAAAAATAGTATTCGCGTTGTGTGCATCTATGGAAAAAAATTGCGACCACTTCCTTTCTGGGCTGGCCTAAAATAAAAGACGGTCAACTAATCACTTCGAGCCTTTTAGGTTTTTCCCCTTTTAAAACAGGAAATATGAAATCGTTGGTCAACGCCGCTGAATGAGGTCATGAAATGATTCAAAAGTGTTTTTTGTTTGACTTATTATTTCAGACGTAATTTAATTTCGCTTAATGAACCCGAGATTAAACCTTGAAAATATTATTATCTATATATATTAATACGTGAAGCAAAAACTTTGTATCCCTTTTTACGAAAATTGCGCGGACGGAGGAGTATGAAATTTTCCACACTTATAGAAAATATAGAGAAGAAGTGCACAATGCTAATATTTTTTTTAAATAATGCATAAAACATAAATTAAATCAATAAAGAAAACACTACACACACTACATACCATGTATTTGACGCACACACGCATGCATACTATTTATTGTCAAACTTTTGTTCTTGACGTCTGTTGTCAAATTGAGAATAGATTAAATATTGTTTGTCATTGTTAATATTTTTTATAGTGTAGTTTTGGCGAAATTTGTGATTATAGAAGTATAAAATACAATTATAATAGTGTACAAACTGACAATTCCTATTAGTTATAGTCGAATTTCGACTACTGCGGGACCTCTAGTTTATAATTATTATATCTTCGACTCATGAAAATCAACTACTAGTGAATGCGATGTTTTTTTAAACACCGTCCATAGATCAGTTCATGGCCCGTCTGATTCGAAGTGAACACCGGAACTCAGGAACTACAGGAAAAATCTGTCGCTTATCATCTCCCAATTAAATTAATCTTAAGCAAGCAATGAATGAAATGTAATTAAATCTTAGCTGTATTTTTTTTTTTTTTATGTTAATGCACTGTCGATTGCACCTATAATTGAGGTGACATCTGCCATGAACTTTTGTCAATTTGTCAATGTTTTGTATTGATGATCACTTTGTTGGTGCAACTTAATAAATAAATAAATAAACTCATAGGCGCAGTAGCGTGTGGTTTTTCGTATGGCGATAGCCTTGAAAGGCTATATCAGCGTTACCCTAACATGTAGGTGAGCTCTCGGGGCTCAAAGCGGAAGTGTTACTAACACTGGTCCAAGCAAAAGCAGTGCATTGCAGAATCGACTGCCAGATCGGAAACGCAGTTGCGTGTACGACATCGCGATAAGGCCGAAAACTTCCTTCGTGCCTAAACTGCAAGGGAGGGGAGGGGCGACTGCGGGATGAGGGGAGGACGCGGAGTATGACCAACCATTGAAATGATTCATAATGCGATTTGTATTACGTATTAGATATGGGTCGTTCGTTCAATTTTAGAGATTCAGATCAGTACTGACCTGTTGACAAAATGATCCGGTTCGTACGACCCGTTCAGTCGAACGTTTGGTTTACCGTTTATCACATCAATTTATGACGTAAATAATATGATCAGGTTACTGGCTGAATAAAGTTTAGTATTGAATAACAGCTTAAAGGAACTGCTATAGTTCGATTGTTTACGTGAGATCAAAACAATCCAAATGCGTTATGCGACATTATGTGAAAACGAACGACTAAAGGGAGACGGGCGCGGTGCGAGACGCGGCAACCCGAAATGATCCGAATGAATGTCGTATGGTTCTTTTCTTCTGATTCGTAGGTTTTGTGTTAAACGAGTCGATCTAGTGAACGACTCATATTTTTTGAAGTGACCCTATCGTTCGCGCGGAATTTGAGACCCGGGTCGTTTGATTCGTTCGTTTGCGAACGACACATATCTATTACGTATAGCTTATTATACTACGAGCGAGTCGAGTCGAACGAGAAGTTGAATAAAACAATAGTAATTCATTACTTTGACAATATTTATAATTTTTTTTTATGAATGAGGGATTGCTTTTGGCGCGATCGCCTTTCCAGTTTCACCAGGCCAGGTGGGCAAGCAAGGGCTCAGCCAGGAGGTGTTCTTAAACTGTCAATAAACGTGGGAGATTCAAATATGCTGTATCATTGAGTTAAACAATTTTTTTTTCCTCTCTAAGCTGAGAGCCTTAAGAGGCTATATCAGCGTAACCTTAACTAGTAGGTGAGCTCACGGGGCTCAAACCTGACGACGTTGCTAACACGAACCCTAGCAAGGGCCGTACTTCGCAGAATCTACCACGGGATTGGAAACGCGACCCACTGAGAAGATCCGCCGAGAAACAGTGGGCTGTGTCTGAGAGTGTTAAACAAATTATCGTAAGAGTGTATTTATATCAGTGTCCTGTATTGTTTATTCGCAACTTGGGTCGCGTTTCTGAGTCGCCGGTAGATTTTGCGCAGCACTGCTCTTGCTAGGGCTAGTGTTAGCAACGTCGTCAGGTCAGAGCCTATGAGCTCACCTAGTCATTCGGTGAATCTAGTATGATCCCGCGAGGTCACTAGTATTGAAACGAATGAGATGACGGTTGAGAATGAAGTACTTTATTTCTTGGTAATTGACTATGGTACAGTACTAGTACATATTGTGACCACTAGATGCCGCTAGTATAAATTAAACTTATTATTTTGATATTAATAAATAAACATATTTTAACAGCACCACTTATCAAAATAATCTAATATCAATTAACAACAAAATCAANTTTTACAATCTATTTTTCATATTATAAGAGCCATCACGTGGTATTTTTTGAACTTTTTTATTGTATTGAATAGCGTCGCACGCAAGCATGTATATCATTTGCCTGACGTTTAGCGAACGAGAAGGTTCTTCTAGTAAATATGATTTCTGGAAAATGTCCTATATAAAGGTCAAACAAGAGGAATCAAGTACTCAAACGCAAGAAATAAAAAATACCCCGAGAAAAGCAAAATTACGACAAGATGTTAAGGTTTTGAAACAAAAACTTAAAAGTCGCGAAATAGTGATTGTAAATATAAAGTCGATTTTAGATTTATTAAAGAAAAATGGCGATTTTTAATTGAATAGAAATTTAAATTGCGAAATTTTAATGATACTCATGGTCCACTTAGATATTGATTAAAATAAATTATGTCTTTCGTTGGAAAAAAATTTTAATATTATAAGACTACAGAAAATTAACTGAACTTAATAATAATAATATAACCAATATTTTGTAAATAGAGATCAAGTACTATGTGTATTGTGTTATGTGTATTGACTTGTCATTTAAGAGTTATTTAATTGTCTACATATAACAAATAAATGAATTTCAGTTCATTTCATTTTATTACCCATTGTGTTTTATTTCCTAAAATGTAACTGGTAGACTTAATATACACGTGTCATGAAAATAGCAGAGAAGTAAAAATACAAGCAATTTTAAATCAATTGAAGATGTGAATGTAGGAAAAGAGCACCCGATACGCGCAGACCATGTGCGTTGCAGTGTCTCACTCAGTGTGTCAAATATTAATTTGCACGGCCCACTTAGCCAGTACATTAAAGTAGGAATTGCGTAATTAAGTTCAACATAATATTTAAGTCGCGGTTGAATATTCGGACGTTAAACATGAGTTTGAGGAAGTTTAAGTAATAGAACTGAGGTAATGATGTTTGTAATAAAATTCAGTGATAGATTTTAGACAACGCAGCAATTTCTAAAAAAAACCGTCGAAAAAAGTCACCATGACGACGAAGCAATGTTTAGAATTGAATTTACATAAATAAACTGTTGTAAGCACGTGTTTTGTATTTACATAGGGCTACACAGAATT